CTTACCATATTCCTCCACTATTAAGGAGTGGTACTCTTTTTCTCCTGACTTCTTCTCCACAATGATGTGGTAGGACCCCAAAATTGGCTCCTGGATTAATGGAAAGGAAAGCTGGACAATGCCATGCTTAGATGTTACCTCCAGCCACTGGAAGATCTGGTTGTGCTCTGGATCCTGAAGAGTGGGAGAGAGTTAAATACCAAAACCTTTATCATTCTCTTTCTTGTGTTCTTGCTTTCTTTTAAGTTTTGTATCCTGGCATACTGGTTTAGTGCATTACAGAATATGAGTTTGGGCTGATGAGAAGTGTGCTTTGACTTCCCATTAGTTTTCCAGTTTCCTTTGTGTGTTAAACAAGCCTAAGATTATGTTAACTGGAAATTCTCTACGCTGCCTGATGATCAGGGATCATCCAGGAGTACTACCTGATTGGGACTCAGATTGAATATCTGTAGCTTTTCTAGCATAAGTCTTTCTGACTCAACTCCTCCTTCTGTAAAATGGCAGTATTATATGGCAGTTTTGTACAGCTGGCCTTCCTTGAAAAGTGCTTTGAGAGCTAGCGATGTGAAATGCTGTAGAAGATTGAATCATTGTTAGCCTGTCCTCTGCAGAACATGATATTTCAGAAAGACACCAATCTCATGTCTATATGGGAATAAGGCTATCTCACCAGCCAATTTGCTGTAGTTTTACCAAGGTAAGATTACACTGAACAGCTTGTTCAAATTCTAACAAAAGTTGCAGCAATAACCCCAAGCCACCTCTGACTAATGTTCTGCTGACTCCTTTATCTTGGCCCCTCCAGTGTTTGACACTTGGTACTGCCACTGTTCAGCCTCAAGTCCATTTGCTTTAGACAGTGAGCTCTGGGCAAGCCTTCCTCTGCTATTCACTCTCTGATGAGCTGTGTCTAGATATGCTAGCATGTGCACACCCACCTTGTTGTGGCAGTGTGGGGAGATCATATTTGTGAAAGCAAATGAGAGATATTGCATCAAGAAAGAATATCAGGGAGATGAAGGTCTGGATTTAACGCTGTAATTTAAATACATATGTAAATAATACATTAAAAATAATAAATCAAAATCATGTTTGATACTGTGGCTTTGCTCTTTGTCAAAATTACTTGAGAAGGATCCACACTATAGCTGTGCAGAAGGGTATAATTATTTTCTCTTTGGGGTAATAGAGTGCATGGAAAATGGCTATTTACTATTATTATGCTCCATCTGCAGATGTTAAAGTGTCTGACTGACACAAATCAATTCTAACTTACAAATAATGTCAGATAAAACTTTTAAAGCCAAAGTTGTACCCAGCCAGATGTAGCAAAGGTGGGAGGAAAGCTAACATCTTCTGACTCATGGATATTTGGCTGAGCTATGATTCTTGAAACTTCCATTAAGACAAACAATTCAGTTTCCTGTTATAGTCATGGTAAACTTTCTTCTTTAGTGTTAGATATGAGCCCATTTCAGGTAATGACAGGCACCTGAAAGTCCCATGCTTGCACAGCAGAGCTGGTATCATCTTGGGACACTTTGCTGTCAGCCTTCTACCATATTCATTGATTGATATATATCCTTAAGTGGTGGTGGGAATAAATTTCACTCGTTCTGGCTACCCCAATCTCACAGTAGGAATAGTGAGTAATATACCCTTGGAGAGGTAAATGAGCACAACTAGTCGAGGTTTGCTTCCCAAAGCAATTTGCTTTCCAAAGCAACTTGCTATTTAATGACATGGTAAATCTCTTACCTCTATGATGATTCGGGGATACTGGAGGAAGAGAAAAGAGAGAGAAAGAACAAAAATGGTCAAAATATCAAGAAATTAACTTGAAAGCTTAACTTGGAGCTTGAAAAATACTAGAATACAAAGAAGGCTGTGAACCCTTTCTATGAATACAGAAGACTGGATCAAGAAAACAATTTGAAATTCATTTATGTAATGAAGTGATAAATTAAAGGAGAATAATCTATTTATGGATTTCTTTTTTCTACTCAAAACGTATCTGGGATGGTTGGAAATGAAGTGACTACAAAGTCTGAAATCTGTAAGTTTTCCAGGAGTGTTTTCAGACCCTTGCCTTCTATAAAGGCAGGGAAGGGATGAAGTATGAAGTTAAGGAGTTAAACTATCCTTCAAAAATATCAAGAGGCCTATCTCAGACCCTTTGTTTTCAATTTAAAAGTGGAAGAGCTTCAGTGAAGAGTGTGCCCAAGATGGTGCTTGAAAAATCTTGACTATCCATCACACTTACTGTCTCCTGAACAGGTCTGAGCTGGCTATCCAAAGCGACCACACGAAACATCACTGAAAAAGAGATAAAGGAAAGAAAAATAATTCACTTGAGCAGTGGTATGTCACTAGTAATATATAACTGAAACAAAGTTTTTCCAGGCTATTTAGAAGTAATAAAGAGCCTCTGAAGAACTGGAAAGGATTGGAATATTATTTTAGCTAGTGAAAAAGAAAACTAGAATAACCTTGTTCTCTGAAATATCTTCCATATTGACTCAGTGGGACTATCCACGAATTAGATTAGCAGTTAAGTAGAAGAAACAGTTGAAAGGAAATGATATTTTTTTTTTAATATGAATTTTATTAATTAAAAGTTTAACCTACTATTTTCTATATTCCTTAAGAAATAGAACTCCTTATGTAACTGGGCCCTGTAAACCTTGCAGAAGTCATGTTCCTGTAGAGTAAATTAACTCAGTACAGACACATGAATTCTACTCACTTGTTGCAATTTTATGAGCTAGTTCTATTTTTCACTGCCTTTTGATGAGCCCAACCTCAGATGACAAATATACACTATCTAAAGGATTGCTTATGGCCATCACAGTCCATGGACTTTTCCTCCAAAAGAGAAGTCCTTGTCATTCTAGACCCACCCTTGCACTCAGTTTCCCACTTCACTAGCTGACTAACTGCACAGCCACCTTTTTGCCCTGGTTTGTAGATGGGTTTGTCCGTCTGAATGAAGACAGTGTTATCCACATTCTCAATTGCCACTGATCTTCTCTCAGCTAAGCTGATCGTGGCACCTTTGGCAGAGAAGGTAATGAAAGCCAGGGGGTCAGAAGTAGCAGGAGGAACCTGGAGAGAAACAAAATTCCCATAATAAAGTTGGCAAATAAGACATGTTGAGGTCCCCTACTACCCATAGTTCTTGAGTGAAATACTGAGTGTTAAGTGAATCATAAAAAGCTTGTGCAAAGTCATGAGAAGCCCCATATTTGCTAGTGACACAGTCTCTGAGAGTGGAGGCTGTGGAAGTCCCATAATTTCCTACTAGGTGCTAAGGTATTAAACCATCCTCTGCCCTAAGCATTTCCTGATCTCACACAGCTGTCTGCTTATATGCAGGTTGCCCAGCCATGTAGCCCAGTTCTGAAGTGTTTCTCCTGCTGCATACTGGAAGATCTAATCTTGAGTCATGTTTGTGATATCTATCCTAATCCTGCAGAGTCAGAGGAAAGGGAACAAGCATGTTCCAGCTGGATTCTCCAGCATGGCAGCTATGACAGTCTCATAGGGCACATGCACCGGGGACAGCAGTCAAAAGCTTTTTTCTGTTCACATTGTGAATGGAGATGGAAAGTCTTTCTCCAGCTCTCCCCTACAACCCATCTGTATTCTCTTCTTTTATGTCTGTAATGTCAGCTTTTCCAGAAGTTTACCTTTTTATTTCATATTCCACACCCACTCTCTCCATCTTCTTGCCCTCATTGACAAAGAGAGTTTCAGATTGAGGTATTTCCAGCTTCTACTCCCTCTTTAATAGTCTCAAAATAGAAAATACCTTGAACTTGCTGCACTTGAAGAAATCATTCTCTATCACGGATTCCTCAAAAAGAGTTGTCTGGGTACTGCTGTATTCCAAGAAAACGCTCAGCGACAGAGGCTCACTGAGGTTGTGGAACTGCACACAAGCACTCTGTGGAGAATCACTCCGCACTACGGTAGGGACCAGCAGCACATATTGTCTGCAAGAAAGCAAGATCAGACCAGAGACCAGAGTTCTGTTATGGAGGAAGGCCAGAGCAAAAAAGACAGGAAAATACTGCAAAAATGCCACATATCTAAAGGAAGATGTGGTACCTGGTCCAAAGCTTGCTCAAAGTGGTAGAAGGATTTCCATTTATTACAGTGGATTTTTCATAATATGCCAGTAAAGTACAGATGACAAATTTATGTCCTGCATACCTTTTTTTCTGAGCTGAAAGACTGGCATTATTCTATGCAGTATCTTATCCAGCATGAAAATCCATCTTTCCATTTCAGGTATGTAGAGAGCCCCAATTACTAAAGTATCTAACTTCCTGACAGGCATAGATGCATTTATCCTCCCATGGCGTATATGTATATATGTACATAAAACCCTGAAACCTCTTGAAAAAAGGAGTCCTATTTACCTTCCTTTTGAGATTATTGACAAAAATACCAATTTCTTGTTGCAACATTTTTTTTTCATTTCTTTTTCTCTGGACGTCTCTCCCTCGGGATATGAATTGACATATCACAAGTCAAACAGCATAATGTGCAAGAAATGATCCTGCCATAGCTATCCCATCTTGCAGAATCTTCCAGGAAATACTCAACCTAATTTGAGTACTCTAGTGTCTTTCCACACCTCTCACTATGTTGCTGCCTTCCCTTTTTTCTTCCTTTGGACTTTCTTAGTTATGCTGTCCTTTGTAATTAGGGCAGTCTTCCTCCCCCAAACTCTTCCTCTCTATAATCTTTTCTCAAGGTTTGCTATATTTGGCTGAGCTTCTGTTGCTGACCTCCCCTTCTCTGCTGCCTAGACTGGTCTTTCCAAATAACTCATGACAGAACTGATGAGCTAGGTCTGCAAAGCAACATGAATCACACAGTCTTTTGATAATGTGATCTCTTTCCTTTTTTCCCCCACAGTTTTGTTTGCTTATATTATCTTGCTTGCTATTTTCACTTACCCAGTTCAGACTTCATGATATTCAGAGACCAGGAGTAAAATGATTAAAATCAAATGTGTATCTGAGAAACCTAAAGCCCTCTGACTTTCACAGAGTGCTTTCCTTAAGCACTTTTGAGATGGGGATTTAAGCTCCAGTGTTTGTATATTTTTGAAAATTGTCTGTGAAATCTTCTGTCTGTATGAAGCCATGCACACTGAGAGATCTGTATAAGCCGTCACAGCGCAGCAGTTATAAAATAATAGGATTACCGTTCAGCACATCTTTCTGATAGCACTCAGTTCTGGACTGAAACATCTCTTCATACGCCATGTTCTCTTCACTGCCAATGCACGTCAATCCCATTATTGCTAATCTAGTCTTGATTCTCCTCCCAACTTTACCAATGCAGTTAGAACTTTATCTAGGCCAGTTCTAGGTTTCTGACACTCAAATCAGATTTCATACCAATTTTGTGATGGATACCATCATTCCACACCATGCTTCAGTGTCATCAACATTCATTTCAGATACATTTCAGAACCTAGGTCTCAAATGCCCAGATATTATATAGCAGTGTCCCTGAAGAAATTAACTGGTAGCAAATATAATGAAGTATTTTATCATAAAAGCACAGAATGCATGATCTCTTACGGTTCAGGAGACACTGTGGCAACCCAGCGCAAGGAAAGAACACTCAGAAGAATCCTTGACCACATCTCTGTCCTTGAAGAAGAAAGAGTAGAGACTCTGATCTCAAGCAGGCAGCCTGTCTTCTGGCTTTTAAACTGGCCTGACATAATGCTCCTCCTCCACAGTTTCAGTCATATTCCAATAAAAGAGATCTACATAAAATTTGCATAGATTCATCTTTGCCTTTCCTGTCTGTTCTCATGCTCTTTGAACTGCCAAACAATAGCATAGGGAAGCTTTCATATTTCAAATAGCTTTGCTAAGTACTGCAAGCCAAACCGGTTCCTGCTCATCTGAATGTTTTATAGTTTACCTTTCTCATTATCATGTCATTGATTCCTTGTCACTGAAGATCCCTTAGTGTTCCAACTTGTTCCAACTTGTGTTTGCAATTGCTTAAGTATTTCCTTGTTCTGTGAAGATATCTCCCAGATACAGCTCACAAAACAAAAGTAATCATAACACTATTGTATGCCTGAACGGGGGGCTGGGCAGTAATAATATGGCATTAGACTGTATCTGCACTCAGTATGGCACAGGAGGAAACTCCTAATCCTAAACTGAATTTTTTACTGTACATAGTAACGCTTAGCAAGGAATGACCTTGACTGTGTATCATTTTTGCCAGTGGTCAGGACAAGTATATTTCTTTTTAGAGAAAGGAATCTTATGACATTATTTCGTTTGTTCACTCATCTGTCTGTCAGTCAGCTTCTTCCCCTTACACCTGTCCCCCCATCAAATAACTTTTAAGCCTGCTGGTGAATATTAAATAAATTTGACTAAGAAGTAGAGGTTTCAGAATAATCAAGGCATAAGATCATAAAACAATTTAGATTTAAAGGGATCTCCTGACATTATCTGGTCTAAACTCTCCTTCTAAGTAGGGCTAACTCCAAAGCAAAAGCAAGTTACCAAGGCTTGTCCAGTAAAGTTTTGAATATCTCCAAAGATGGAGAGTCCACATCATCTCTGCCATGCTTAATTACTCATGTTGTGGAAAACCTTTTTCCTTATATCACAATTTGCTTACTAAAGCTTGTGTCTGTTGCCCCTTGTCCTTTCATTTTGCACCCTGGAGAAAAATCTGGCTCTGTCTTCTCTACAACCTCCCTCTAAGTTTTGGAAGATGGCAATTAGGCCACCTTTGTTCCTCCAGGCTGAACAAAGCCGACTATCCTACTTCTCTCTGTAGATTGTGTGCTCCAGCCCCAATCATTCTAGTGACCTTCCACTGGACTGTCTCCAGTATGTCAACATCTTATACTGGGGAGCCCAAGACTGGACGTAGAACTCCAGATATGGTCTCACCAATGTCAGATAGACGAGATGAATCAATTCCCTTGGCCTACTAGCTACACTCTTCCAAATACAGCCCAAATATAGGAAACTACATAATCTGCGGCAGTGGGTGAGTGCATTACACTCTTAAATCAACAAGGTAGCCAATCAACATATGTGTAGCTCCCACCTTGGGAAAATAAAAGGCAACTTCCCTTCCTCTTCCTCAGCCAAACAGGTGATGAATGGGAAGAGGAAGCTGAGCATACTATAGGAGTAACTAGTGACATGGATGAGAGCTAGGGGTATTGAAGAAGGGGTTAGGCAATGCAGAGTGAGTCTGAAGTTATTTCAGTTGTAGAAGGTCTGAGAAGGGAATGAAGACTATTATAGTGATGAGGTATAAAGGGAGGTAGAACTGTTGAAAACCAGACGTTAGTAATTTCACTGCTTATGGTATAATATGGTCTTGCTAATGATTCAGCCATACGGTCGTTATTCTTTCTAGCAGCATAGGCAATACCCTGAACTATTCCTGTCTATCCAGCTCAGCTACACATCTTTTCCAGCAGCTTTCTGATGACCAACTAGGACACACAGAAAATTGCCTCAGGTGCTGCTGGAGCTAATGTCTATTCCCACCGACATGTTAGTGAGAAACATTGCACAAAGGTTCCCAGAAAGACCTGACATCAGTGTGATGATGCTGCATGGCAAGTGGGTGTTGTGCAAATAGGGCAGTCCAACTGTTAAGAAAGCTGCTGTTTTGATTGTAGAAGGCAGAAGATAGCTAAGAAAATGTTACAAACATATCTGTGTTTGCAGCTTTGAAATGCCTCAGACCCCATATATTACTTCAAACAGGCCACAATCTTGTCAAAAATGGTAAAAGAAAACCCATAAACAGAACCCTCTTTTTTTCTGATCTTCAAGCCTCTGAGAAAGCTTGGAAGATTCTTAGAATATGCTTTACAGAGCTAGTTAAAGTTTTTATCTGACAAACAAGTTTGAAAATATATTTTGGCAAAATTAAAAGCTCCCTCAGAAATATTTGGACAATGATGGCATGTTCAAGGTAAGAACTTAAAGTACTATGTTTTCTTGGGCAATATTGTATTAGGAAATAATAGTGAGGGGGTAAAGCAATAGGGAAAAAAAAAAAGGAGGAGGAAATAGTAATCAATTCCAGATCCTTGATGGAAATTGCTCCAGAAACTCACCTTTTGTTAAATTGCAATATGCCTTTATATAAAAGGACTTTTTTGATGATACATAGACATGAAAAGGAAAAGGCATTTGCACTAGGTAATCAGATGATCATTGGACCAGATCTCCAGAGATCCCTTCAAACTCCAACTATTCTGTGATTTGAAAAAGAATTTTTATTAGAAATTATGTTCAGAGCAATTAAGTAGCACATATTTCTCTGAAGACTTGCTATTGAATTCATGACCTTAATGAATTTTCTGATCCCAGAGGAACTTTTTAAGTTGTAGCAATGGTGTGATATAAAAACAAGCTCAGCTCTTCATACACATTTGTACTGTGCCAGTACTATTCTTAAGAAGACCACAGTGCAATTAAAATGTTATTCCAATTGTCCTTAGTAGCAGGGAAAAAATAAAATGTTTTGCGTTGTATGATTTAGGACCAAGGAACGGGAAAGGAATAGTCATCTGGAAGTATGGGGATCAGGATTTACCTTGTGGGGAAACAGTGAATACTCACATAGAGCAGTTGCTGCAAGACAGGGGCTGAGAAGATACCTTGATACTGGAGACCATATAAACTAACCTATTAACTTTAGACTGGCACATACTTTTTTTGCCCTAAGAAAGGATGTAACTAGAGATGATAGTCTGGCTAGAATACTGATGAAATGAGAAACATTTTCAAATGCCCTTCAAGATGAAAACAATGTATATCCAAATGTAAATATTACAAGTATACTTGTTTTTCATAGAAGAGTCGTGTTATATGCTCTTAAGACAACAGGGAATCAAGTTGTCCTCAACTGGTTCAGTCTGGACTTCAGAAAGTTAATGCATTTTCTGCCTGTTATGAAGAAACCTTATATACACATGCACATGTATCCTTATTTCATTCTTTTTCTAGATCTGAAATGAGAATGGCTATGAGTCAGAGGGACAGTTTTTGCAGTTTGTGCATTGGAGACACGACTTTGACAATTTACTTTCCTTACAAATAAAGCTGAATCTGCCAATCCATTTTATCACATCAGATGCTTCTGTGATTGTCTTCTCTTTTACATCAGATGTACATAACTGCAGGACAATGTAAAGGTTTACAACAAGCTCAGTGTTTTGCATATAAACTGCATTCTCAATAGAGAATTCTATGGGACTGTGGCTAAACCACATCCAACATCCTAGTTAGCTTATGTAGAGCATCACACAGGACTGCTATAGGACTCATAGCAGTACTATACTGTCCCTAAATGTTCAATATAACCATATGTGCAGAATCTAGTCACTATAGTCATAAATTAGAAAATAACAAAGTCAAAGACTCACTATAGGCTATGCAGAACACTGGAAGTGGAGGTGAGACATTCAAATTCTCTGTCAGTATAGATCTAAGACATTCCTGTTTTCCGTTGTGTCAGAAAAAGAGCAGAAAGTGCAATGGAAACATGAACTTCTTTCAGCAGTGAAGCCTTGGATTTTCCAAAAGATTGAGTAATATATAATTACTAGTTTTCCTTCTGTGGCTCCACTTCACATTTGCATAACACTGAGGGACTGAGAGTACTTTCTAAGTCATAACTTCACTTCATAAGTTCAAACAATCCACTCCATGCTACATTATCTTTTTACAGCCCAGTTTCTGTCTCTAAAACAGGTAGATGTGGGGCCAGAGCCTCAGCTTCTATATCATTTATGCAGATATCCTTATCAAAAGTTCTGGACTATTTGCAACCCTGTGAGCTTCTAAAGAAATTCTATTCTAAGTCTGAGAAATACTTTCCCACAGAACATTCGTCAAACACATTCTGACAAAATGTTTTTTTCTAAAAAGCCAACATGTCTCAGAATAGTATTGTATATGTCACACTTTAGAGGACTGCATAACTTTGTACCTTTTTTACAGTGGTATTCTACAAGTGCTTTCACAGTTTGGATACTTTAGATCAATTTGTCTTCACAGCCTTCCAGTCTTCCAAGGCATATCCCAAGCTGCAAGCTTTTGGATTAGCAACTGATGGCAGTTCTGAGAATGTTTGCTGACAACAGACAGCTCATAGTGCTGCTGATACAATACACTATATTATTTCAGGTTGAATGGATGGAACAGTTTCTGGTATCGGTCATTTTCTGTAATAAAATGCATATATATATATATATATCACGCAATATTAAGCATTGCAGCACTGTTGTTGTAGTCAGAAAAGTAAACAGCCTACTGCTCCACCCCTGTAAGATCTTTTTACAGGTAGACTGATCATAAATTGACTAATATGCTGTCAGCACCATCCACAGGACCATGAGCAGGGAAGAAGATGAGGTCAAGTAGATTGCAGAAGAGCTAACTGAATTAACTGCATCATCACTGTTCACCATGGAAGAAACTTTGGAAATTCCCACACTGGAAAACTCCTTTAGGGACAACTCATCAGAGGATCTGTCTGAAACAGAAGTGATTGTGAAAGAACTGTAGAAAAAATAGGCAAAATGAGTAATGACATGTTGCCGGAACCACGCAAGGTGGACCAAGGAGTTCTAAA